TCATCCTCTTAATGTCCACATCTCTAAATGAGTTCCTGAGGCAGTTGACAAACTGGTAATATTCCTGGCATTCATACAGTAGAGCCAACAGGGGGCTTAGCCCGCACACTATCATGAGTAATTGAAATAATCAACTCAGTTGCTAATGACTCATCTCCTTGGCAATGGATAGTAGTCTCCACAGCACTGGGAGTGTGGTGCAGGAGGTGCCGGTGCCAGGAGACATTTCCCAACACATTTCCCAGACAAAAAGTGAAATAGATAAAAATAACAAAACACTCATCTACCACGAGTCAACCATTACGGAAAACATCTAAGTTTTTCTCTCTGGTATTCAGGCTGCTAAATGACTAGGCATGACCTGGAAGATGGGATGAGGACAAACTGAGGTTCCAACTTTGACACCTCTGGTGTAAAGCATTTCACACAGGAAGGGTTATTTTTTGTCTGATGCATCAACCACACACACACAGACACACATATGTACAGCTATGTTTGAGAGGAAACTCACTGACATAATGCATTCACTAGCCCCTCGCCCAGACATTAAACATCACAAATAAATGCCTAATCTCAATCCTTACTGTAACCCTGACCTGAACCAAATTATAGCCTGAACCCTAAAACCAAGATCTAACCTTCAAAAACCCATCTGAGGGTGTGTGGGCCAGCTAGAATGTCCTCATGACGATGGCACAGAAGAAAATTTGTCCAAACTATGTAATAAAGACACACACCCCCACTATAGTTGAATTGGTGTGGCTATAGCTTGAGGTCTGGCGAGTGGACTGGACTGGAGTGTGTTTGTTCAAGAGAGCTCAATCATGCAAGCTGTTTGTACAACATGCCTCCTCTGCACTGTGGGAAAACTCTCACATGGTCGCCTGCCTGCCTGTCTGACTGGCTGGCTGGGGAGTATGAGTATGAGCATGTGTGTTCATTGAGCAATGGCCTGACGCAGACTTGTGCAGTATTAACCCAGCCCCTTTGTGCTTGTCAGTGTAACAAGTCTAAACAGCTACAACAATGTATGAGGGAATGAAGTCAAGTGGAGAGGATAAAGTAACATCACTAACGTTGATACTAGTTTTTCTTCTGACAGCTCCTCCTGTGATTAGGGGGTGGTGCTTGTGTTGAGGTATGCAGGGGACGGCCATGCTGGCAATTGAGCAGGTGTGTGTGTATACGTTACTGTGAAGATATCCGTGTGGATTTGTATGTGTGAAAAAGACAACAGGATACAGAAAGAAGGTTATGTGCAAGTGTGAAATCTCTTGGAAACTTGGACAAACTTAAAACATATACGCTACAAAATATGTGTCTTCAGGACGTCTCAGTATGCCAGAATACCAGCTGACAATGAGGGGTAAAATGTGTCATCTCATGCTCACACACACACACATTCAGACTTACACACAGACAAAGATAGCAAATGCAGTGGCTGATAAGTGCAGACATGACAAACATTCAAGGCACTCTGGAAACACATGCAGGAAACATTGTAAAGGCAGAGTGGCTGTGCACATGTCTTCACATAACTGCAGGTGGTGCAGTAAGCCTCAGCAGGCAGCCAGAGTGGAGCGGCTTATGGGGGGTGGGTGTTCAGGTTAAGGAAGTCGTGACATGCCCTTCCAGCAGGCCCATAAATCAGCCAGCTCAGCCTCACTAAGGCTGAGCTCTTGAGAGAAAGACATGGAACGCGCACACACGCAGACTCAAGCACCAGCCAATTCAGCTCACACACAAAGTCACATAAACATGTACAATAATGTGGGTGTCAACAAACACGCAAACAGCAGGAGTGCACGTTCTGTTATGTCAATGTAAATGGCTGTGGCACTTTTAGCCTCAGCCTTACACACCACACCTCCCACTATGTGGTCGAGTTTGTGTGTTTAAGGCGTGAAATATGTTTGTATTTTCAAAACAGCGCACAGTATTTAACTTTATACTTTGTAAAAACATGTGACACTTTGTAAACCTGCAGTGAATACATGGTAAAGCAAAATAATCGATCAGGTTTATTAACTCATGAGGAGAGGGGTGGAGTGTGAATGGCCTTATCACCATATAACACCGACCTAATATTTGCTGTTACCAGTGACGTCACATGCTTGTACAGAAAGAAGCTGTGCCCAATGCTAGGCTTCATAAACCACATATTGTCCATTTTATTACTGCAACTCTCTAAGTGAAACTAGAAAGTAAAGCTGGGCAGACACTGTGCAATTTTATTGATTGTGTACAATGTGTTAAGTCACGCTACAAGTTTCAGTCAGCCTTCCCACACAGCCTGAATCCATCCAGTCATCCTGGAGCCAGATTGCTGGTTTTTCAGGTGATTAATCAGGCACTGGGACCCTGCTCACGCTGGCCAGAATTAGTCCACGTTTGAAAATTAGTCAGGGCTAAAATTGGGCTGAATCTGTACAGTGTCTGTCTGACTTAATATGCACATAGTAATTATGGTGACATCACAGCCCCTTAGGTAGGAAATCATAAATATCATTATCAGCAGATACAGAGCATGAAAATACAGTTGGTATGTTGTGAAAACAGGAAAAAATACATAACTGGCACAGCAACAACACGTGTGTGTGTGTAATATTAAAGCTGACAGCAACTCAAAGTAAATATTGTGCTGAAACTTGAAACCTTAAGGTTGTCTGTGAACATACACTAAAAATGTATTTGTCAGTTCTGATTTATTTTCAGTCTACTCTGTAGAATTGAGTGGAAACGCACTAACGCCTTTTAAATTTACAAGTTGAGACAATTAAACTCCATTTCATGAGAAGGCAGGCTACCCGTTTTATAGATGGTATAAATTTGACTGGTGGTAAATTAAAAACTCTCTTTGACAGTCATCGATAGGAAAGTTTCTGTTACGTTGGCATGTTAGGGATTTGGTGTCCATCTGCACCCATCTGTGAAAACAAGAGCCGAGAGGAGCAGGAGGCTTCAACTCTCCACAGCCAACAGTCAGAGAACTCGAGTAGTGTTAACAGTACAGGTTGTCACAGAATTATATAAAAACTATCTTGCCTGGAGAGTGAATTTAAAAAAAGATGATAGAGTGATGGAATGAGACAGAGAAAGATGCAAGCCAGCTTCACACGAGTGTTCACTATGTTGCTATGTTGCAGTAGCTCTTCCGGTGGTTCCTCTCTCTTTCCTTTTTAGGCCACTAAATTCTGAGAGTGCAACTCTGCCTGACCAATGTCAGAATGTGAGAGATGCAGATCAGCCAGCATACTGATATATTGATAGTCACACAGCAAGCCTCGCACAGTCAGAGAAAGTGAAAGAACAGCATCTCACCTTCATTACTGTTCAGTGTTGAGGTACCCCTGAGCAAAGCATTTAACTACCAGCTGCATCAGTTGGGCTAAACTTAGCAATATCTAAGTGTGAAAGTGTCTAATTGTGTAAATTTTGGAAAGGTTTGTCCTTCTGACAAAGGGGATTCGTGCTCTGTGTCTCTAAGCGAGAGTTTCAAAGGTGTGAAACAACACAGCCCTCTCCATTCATTTCTATGGTGGTTGCAGCCGGCACCGGCACCTCAGGGGGTGCTGGATTGACCAATCACGTACAGGGGACAGTTGGAAATTTTTCAAGTTCCAAAATACATCCAGGGATTGCAGTGAATATTACCAGGAAGATAGTAGAGCTCTACTTAAAACAATGCCCTGCCAGCTCAGTCAAAACAACAGAAAAAAAACAAAAAAAAAAACAGAAATGGCAATCAATATAGATGTGATGGATAAAAGCAGGAGGCCTGAAAACACCACCACCAAAAGTTTCAGACACAAACAGCCACAAAGCCAAAAAAGAAAGACAAAAACCAAATACATCATCAGATCAAATAAACAACTGCTGCCGGCATAGTTCAGTTTGTCAGTACAGCCGACACAGAACTGTCTCAAGGTAAACTTAAAAAGCATAGAAAAACTTGGACTAAGTTCAAGTGATGTCGCAATAGGCTTTTTCAGCTTTTTCAGATTTTCTCTCCTCCACCTGAGAGAGGTGATAAATCTTGAGTTTCTGTACTCAGCTGAGGCAATGACTGGGCCAGAGGTCAAACCAGTAAGACAGATGAAAACAAGAGATTGCCTGGAGACCCATTAAAAGAAAATTGCTGAGGAGGGATAGACATTCATGTCCTGCCTTTGAGGGAGCAATGGCACGGACTGTGTGTGTGTGTGTGTGTGTGTGCGCAGGAGGGTGAGAGGCACCGATGGACAGTGAATGATACGACTGTGTCAGAATATCAAGAACTAAATACCTTTGTTGTAGTCATTCCAACTCCTGAACCATCCCCTAAAGATTTGACATTGATACCAATATTTTTGTAACATTCCTTTTTTTCAGTACTCAGGTCTGTTTCAGAGGAAAACAGTTGCCACATGTTTTGTTTCCTTGAGAGTTTTCATCATTTCTCTTCCCTTTCTGCACATTCTTTGTTCTTTGTCATTGCTGTGCTCACTTAGCCACAGAATGAATGTGCACACCAAGAAAGCTGTGTGGAGAATGTGGTTCAGCCAAATTCCTATGTTAGAACAAAGCTATTGTCATCTCTAAAAAAGAAAGAAAAAAAAACTGCATTCCTGGAAATCCCAGCAAGTGGTTGTCTCCATGTGTACACAGCTGAGCGGAAAAAACATTTAAAATGCACCTCTCCCTTTATTAGTCTTATGCCTCTGAGGTGTGTTTTAAAATCACTTCATGTCCAGAGGGAAATGTCATTTCTGCTCTGCTGCACCTGTCATGTAAAACAGTATCAGGTCGTCTGAGCCTCTTCATAAATTCCCAGCTCAGAAACATATGGTGAAATCACACCGCATATTAATTGATACTCTACTAAAATATACAATATGAAGTCAGAGCAAACATGCAAATCAATTACTTGTCACTTAACCTGCAATTACTGAAGGTGAACACAGGAATGGCACAAAACAGAGAAAGAAAACTAAGGACCAAGGAACAGAGTGCTGATCTACCTGCCATCATCTTCTGGGCCTCATATGGCTCCATGTAGCCGTCGTTCTCAGTTGTCACCTTTTCCGTGGTGGTCTGAGCGCCGCCAGCCTGCTCAGCATCGAACGGATCCGCATAGTCTTCAAGGATAATGAGCTGCAGGAGAAAAAAAAAGAAAGAAAGGTGAAATGGAGAGAGGGGAAAAATGTGAAATAGCAGGTGGGGGAATCGTTTTGCTGCTCTGTTAAGCACTACAATGGATAGAGTGTCAGGAGAAGTACATGACAGATAGTGCCGTGGCCCAGGACGGGACCAAGTGATATCCACTGAGGCAGGTCAGGAGATAAAGGCAGAAACATATAAATAACCAGACCTCTGTATGCCTCAGCACACTGCCGCAGTGCCTCAAGCCTTTAGCCTTACAGCACGCTCTCTGCTACTGCTGGTCTGCCTAATTATATGATAGACAGGCCTACATTTCAAAAGTACAGGAAATAAGACCACAACTGCTCAACTTTCTTAAGAGAAACAATTTGGCAGATTTATGTCAAGCTGGTAGTGAGCCACGGCTAATTGCAGTCTTGTTCTTTTGCTGAGCATTTTGTGCCGTGGATGGCAATTAGGTGGACGTCTCGAGAACTAGAAATACAGCGCAAACCTTCAGGGAGCAGAGAAGCAGCCCACATCTACAGTGCCTTAGGGGATATTTGTTTCCTTGAAATGTTTGCTTCATGTACCAGGACGCTGCTTCAAAAGTTCTTCTCCCGGAAAGAAAATAAAGTCCCATTTGAGCCATTTGTCCTCTAGGACATTGCTCCTAATGAGGGGGTGTGAGTGCAGGGGTTTGGGCCAGCTGTTAGAAAACTGGACTTTTTTCCTCTGTTGAGTCTCCTGACAGTCTAGTGCTGCCAAAGGAGTGGGCAGAGGAGAACAGCACCGCATGTTCTGACACCTGAAATGTCTTAGGAGCGGCTTTTTACAGTGAAAACCATTGCACAAACAAGGAAACGCTTATGCATACTGCTAAGCAAATACTGTATGTACATGACTGGCACTAAACCCTATGAGTCATGTGTAACAAAACAAGATTTGATCTCTTTATAAACAATCTCATCACTCATCCAGTGGAAGGGGCCGGGTGGGGCAGCCTGGAGGTGGGCCCTGCCTCATGCCCGCTGTGCTGTCCTCCACCTAGTCGGCTTTCCTGAGAACAACCACTGTCCATCATTGCCACAGAGAAAGCACACTTCCCAGAAGTAAAGTCCATATGCAGGCCACCCATGAGAGTGCCCCCCCCACACACACACACACCTGCCAAGCCTCAGGGAAGCAAGAAGAATGTACATACAATATATATCCTTCCAACAAAGCACAGACAGTTTCACAGTTCTGACTGAGCTCAAGTGATATTTAACACAATCATAAATTTCAAAAAAGATGTCCTGACAAGTTTCCAAGTGCTAAATGCTAGAAAGATCACTAGGGATAATTTGTAAGCCGCTTAGTGACAGAGAAATGCTGGCTGGTATATGTCTACACAGATCACCTCCACTATACATGGATTAAACAATAATAGTAAAGGAAGTCAGTACAACGGATGCGTTTCATAGCAGCTACTGTGTGTTAAATCCACCTTCTTCAATATTCCCTCTCCATCTGTTTTGGGGAAAATAACTAGGACAGTTTTTTCTGCCACAGCATAATTATGGGTTCCTCAAATGTTCTGCTTCTGTGAATTCAAGCAGAGGGAAAAATCCAATACAAACATTGTCCTGGTTTGTTTTTGTGGCACAGAAAATATACACATTTCACTCCCAAATTTAATTAAAATTCAGCCATTCTAATAACCAACATCTTTGAGGCCCCAGAGACCCTGAAACTCTCACTAAATTATGCATGGCCACAGTGTCATTAGCATCCCGTACGTTTTTTTTTTTTGGAAACTCAGCCACCAGTAATCAGAGAATGAGCCAAACTCACCACAAATACAGTCACTGCAAATGCAGCACAAACCTATGAATAAGTCACCCTCAGTAAAAAAACAAAAACAAAAAAAAAACATACAAAAAAACCCCCATACGAATCGCCTATAGGGGTTGAAGGCCAGTGCACATGTGACTGTGGTCCACATACTGTAGCAGAGTGCTTTGAGGGCTGAGACCAACATTGACAAATGTGATGAAACAAATGCTTTATCTTAGGATCTCTTCAGCAGCTTTATATGACAGATGTAGTTTATATATTTCCCAACAGTGAGTTTCAGCAGATCTCACACCTTAATCCTCTCCCATCTGACCACTTCAGGCACCTTCATCATGCACCAAAGGATGTTTGGGCATGTTTCAGGAAATAATGGCAATCACTTACTGAGTTATGTGTGGAGCCACTCCAAACCCATGACATCATCTTTTGCCTTTCCTGTTGACATAATGCTGGACAAATAACGGGTGGGGTATTTGATGAAACCCAACAGGCAGAGTGGTGTCTTGGGATTTAATGCAATCATGAATAAAAACTAAAGCTTGGATTTGAGACTCAAACACTACAATATGTACATCACTGCCCAATCAAAATCAGCCTCAGCAAAAAAAGTCTGATAACGCTGCCGTTACTCTATAAGAAAAACCTGAACATATTTACAAGTGGATCTAAGACACTAGTCTCAGTCAGCGTCTTGGCATTCTTTAAACTGGAATATTATTTTAATTTTTTATTATTATCACAAAGCATCAACAATCACAATTTCCCATTTAAAAATTATGGCCCCTGGGTTCCCGTATGTTTAAACAAGGCAGCAAAGGCCTGTCATCAAACAGCCAGCACTACAAAAAACATTTTACAGATGTGTGTACAGTATATTTAGCTACGAGTTGGGCAGTAAAACCTCTTTTCAGCACCTGGCTCATGTTCTTATTCCAGTCAGCAGGGACAGTCAAGTTTTCTTTTCCCATCAGAAGCATATTTAACCTGACGACAAGCCAGTTTCCAACCCGCCTACTGCTGAATAAGAATTAAACAAGAACAAGTTGGTTGTGGAAAAATTTCATTGTCATTTTGAATTATGAGGAAAATCTGTTATTAAATGTTTCCAGAAAACTGCTAATGTAGATAAATAATGAATTTTCAATTTCACCCAGTGCCACATTCATACCTTTACAAACCAGTAATTTGTACATCTGCATTCTGTTGTCACCCACTGGCATTACAAATTTTAGCTTACACAGATTTGAACCATCAACTACTTAAGCCAACAGACTGCCTTTCTAAGACGTCATCACCCAGCCCCAGCAGCCTTGTGTGGAGGAGCTGGTTCATTTTTCCAAACTGTTCCAGCGTGTCCTTCCTGTCCCACTGCACTAATGACTACTCGACAGCAGGAGGAGCATTGGGATTGAGGTGAGGGGTGGATAGAGAGCAGCGTCGCCTGGGGAAACACCATCTGCCTTATGGCATGCCAGGGTGTGTCAGGACTGCAGCCAAGCCACACTTGTCATAAAAGTAAAATTCCCCCTCAGCACAAAGCTGCAGTGCTTCGCTCAGTTAGATCTTTGCCAAGATGTGATGAAGGACTATGTGAATCTCACAAAATCACCTCGCAGACTTAGACCATGTCCCTGTGGTAGCTGGGTCCTTTACAGGTCTGCAGCATTTAGAGAGAACTCACTCAATTACTTTCATTCCACAGCGCAGATCCCAAACAGGCCATGGCTTACACCTGCCACAGCTCTGGCAGCTCACAATGGAGAGAGCCACAGACTTTTTGAAATGCACTACAGCTCTCAGGTGATGAAGCTGAATCAGTGGGAACAGAGGGCAGACATTAATGAAGCAGGGAGACTATAACAGACACCTGCCACTTTGGCTCAATGTTTGGTGATGCTAGAGCTTCTAGGATTACAAGTCGATCAGGCCCCAGTGTTCTATTAGAAGTGAGAAAATGTGGGTATAATTCTCCTCGTGCATTCTTAATGGAGAGAGAATGTGTTGAACCAGCTTATCAGACAATCAAGGTAAAAAGAACAACATTTTCAAAAAATGCATTAGATGAAATCTGAGCCCAAAACGAAATCTGGTTATAGTGATTTGAAAATAGGCTGCTGCATTTCTCTTTTCATTTTGGGCAAGTTACATGTCCATCATCAGCTGCAAGTAAATGCAATACAACTGCAGACTGGAGATTTTACAAAGCAACCACCAGATAAACACCTTTAGACACGAAAAACTGGAAGGAAAAAAGTAGTCTCACTTGTGCTGAATGAGTGCAGACAAGAATATGATATTAATGCCATGGTTGGTCCAGGAAAGAACTGAATGTATCAGGGGCTAGTCAAGGTTGAAGCCCCATCTGAGACTGCCAGACAATTCAGCAGGCTGTAGAATGAGTGAGGAGGGGAACAAAAGAAAGAGGACTGATGTGTGTGATTTATGTCTCACGCCACGAGGGATTTCAGCCACTGATAACCTAATACAGTTCAGTGCTTAGCAGCTCAATTGCATCAAGGCATTTCAAAAGGCTTTTTTTTTGCTGCTGTTGCTCTTTTGTTCTTCAGTCTAACAAAAAAAAACATCCCACAATAGTGAGGACAGAAAAGCATTTTAAAGAGGAGAAGAAGGGAGGGGAGAGAAGACAAAAGATGAGGGTTGTGTCTTTTTACAAAGGAGAATTGCCATGCATAAAGTATGTCTACTCCTCATGGATGGAAAAAATGTACAAATGTTCATGTGAAAGCATAAGTCAGCAAGCTGTAGCACCTTGAAGCCTCTGCTGATTGCTCCTGTGCCTTATCTTAGTCTATAAACACAGGATGAATGCTTTGTGTGCACTGCAGTCAACCTAAGATACCTTGGCCACAGTTTTCTAGAAAGAGCATACTGGCAAGAAACACTCCCTCAAGGCAATTTATTTAAGTAAAAATGATCACAGCTTCTCTGCTGACATAATGCAGTTACTATCAATAAGATACTTTCATGTTTTTAAGAAGCGAGTGCAAATCTGGTTACAATTCATTGCGGGTCCCTTGTGAAGACTGAGCCCTGCTGGGTCCTATATCTCCCAAATAGATTAGGCAGATGGAAACCTGGCTTTGCCTTTAAAGGAGAGACAGTGCAGGAGTGAATTTCCCACCATACAGACCTGACATTAATGAAACTTTATT